AACAAAAGACAGTTGCGCTCATTAGCGCCTGGCCGTCTCGCGCCAGTTGCCAACTGTCATCCTCGCACTTACGCGAGTTCAATATGTACAGTAATCAGAAGCCTCCAAGTATGAAATCTTTTATTCCGAGTGACATGGGAAAACACAGAGCAAAATAATGTATCATTCTTGTGGAACGTCCTATGCTTCGGGCTGGGCCTCTCCTGGCTCGTCGTGGTGGTATATCATCTGTGGACTGTCCATGCGGTCGTCGTCGGCAATGTAATGACGCAGGTCAAAGGACTGAGAAATCTCTGCCATTCCTTGATTGATCGCCGGTGCTGACTGAAAATAAATGATAAAAGGAGGGGAATATCGTATTAAAAGAAAAGTATTATCATAGCAATCACGTACTATGCGGAGAAGGTACTCCATCCGCTCAATATTTTCCTCATGGATGCGGATATCTCTCCGCGCCTGAGCCACCTCCTCCCTGGCCACAGCAACTCGCTCCTTCAACTTCTCACCCCAGGCAACGGTTGCCTGCCGGTGAGACTGGAGCATGCTGATCTCAGCGAGCCGGGATGGACACTGAGGACATCCAGTGGGCTGAAAATAGAATGTAAATTAAACCATATTTGGGGAAAAAGGTAGGTGAATCTCTCTGTTAAGTACTTACTATTAGCTTCTGCACCATCACGCGGTGGAGATCCTCAGGAGATAGATTCGAATAATCGGACATTTTAGCTAAATAGATTAGGTTAAAGCAAATGGCAATCCCTATGAGCATAACCTCCTGGGAGGCCTGTCGGTATCTAGATACGCGAGGTCTCATAACCTCAGAAAAACAAAGTAAGTAAACACATCTTCACGATTCAAATATTTATTCAAGAAAATTAATCACGAGAACTTGTTTGTTTTTTTTGATGACGTTCATTGGGGGAGACGAGCTCATGCCAATGCGGCACCTCCCCATGCAACAAACCCATATTCACGTAAGTGAGCTGTTGGACTCTTTTATTTTGCTGCTGAAAAAAGGTGACAATACATATTTTATTAAAATTTTAATTGTAAAATAAAATTATATACCGTCCATAAGTGCGTCAGCTCAGCGGACTTCTTGCGCAGCATTTCTCGGGTCTGCTGGAGGCTCTCCAGCTCCCGAAGTACTTGGGCCAGCGTGTCTCCTTCCTCGATCGTATTCTGCTGGCACACTTTGGTGCACACCGTGATATTCTGAACGATATCACGGTGTTTGGTGAGACCACCACAGACCCCACATATTTTCTGAAAAAAAAGAGAAAAATGCCTATACCTCATTTTCATGATCATAGTCATACTTGTATAACCAGTAAAAACCATGTTCACATTGTACTCTTTGTTAGATATGAATTTTTGATCATGAAGATGCCCCCCCCCCCACCTTCTTTTCCCATCCTCTTCTTCACGCTTCATTACTTCTGGCTCGAGGACGAGCCTATTTTTCAAAGGAATGGCGAAATCTAGGCCGAAATCTATCGAAATCCATCGGTCCTAGCTGTTCCAAACTCACAACTTATTCTATTCAATGCGATGTATCCACCGGCACAATCTTGGCCGCCTATTCTTGTTTCCGACTAAACATCCTTTCTACAATGTTTATTTATGGCACTCATGTTGTACTATGCATCTCATCTGTTTTATATAGCTTCACGCTTTATGAGATTGCTTGTGCCATATCGAAATCCCAATCG